TATATATAATAATAATAATAATAATTACTGTATATATAATATAATATAAGCATTTGTTTTTCTCACAGAAACAACCCACAGACATTCGCTGCTGACTGAAAAAGTAGACACATTGAAAAAACAGCTAATTGAAAAGTATACTGACTCGACTTTCTTCAATATGTCCCCATTCAGAGGTTCATTATCAATAGATCTGAGATCACTCTTTGCTGATATCTCTGTTGTGTTAAAAGACACTAAAAATCAGCCGTTGAGGAAACTCACATTACCAGATGTCCTATCACTGCTGGGGGACATCACTATGATAGAAGGAGAAGCTGGCAGTGGGAAGTCAGCTCTGCTCAGGAAGATTGCCATTCTCTGGGCTACGGGAAATTGTCCTATGCTCAACAGGTTCACCCATGTGTTCTATATTGCCCTACCTTCCTTGGAGAGCCAACAGTCTCTATGTGACATCATCTGCCATCAACTGATTGGATCTAATGCAATGCTTACTGAAGTGTCTTTGGGGGAAATTATAAAACAACTAAAGGACAAAGTTTTGTTCCTCCTGGATGACTATGGTATGATGGACTCAATACCTGAAGCAATAGAAGTACTTATACTGAAGAACCCTTGGAACAGATTGAGTCTAGCAGTCACAGTAAGCACAGACAAGTCATGGAAACTGCGACAGTATGCAAAGACCATACTGAGTCTCCAAACATTTCCCTTATACAGTACTATTTACTTAGTGAAGAACATATTTTCACATGACAATGACAAAATAGATACATTTCTTTTGCAATTAGTAAAACCCCAAAACGTGCCAGCCATTTTGCAAACACCTCTGATTATTCTTGCTCAGTGTTCCTCGTGGATTGAAAATTGTGATTATAAATTTGAAGATGTCCATATTTTTAAAACATACTTGAAATGCATCATGCTTAAATTTCCTCATGAGACAGAAGCAGTGAAGTCACAGCTTGTCTCTTGTGGTGAACTTGCACTCAAAGGTCTTTTTGAATCAAAATTTCAGTTCTCAGATGATGACTTAAAAGCCTCTGAGGTAGAGAGTGACAAAGCCATCAAATTTGGACTTTTGAGCAAGTTCACAGCACAAAGACTTCGATCCATCTATAGGTTTTTTGAGCCATCATTCCAGGAGTTTCTTGCCGGAAAAAGACTTAGCGAGCTTTTAGAATCGGATAAACCAGACGATCTCAGCAAGGGATTCCATTACCTCCATCAAGTGAATACTTTTCTGAAACTTCTAGGACGTTACAGCTATTTCCTAAAATATGCCAGCAGGATTTCCACAAAGGCGACTCTAAAGATCCTATCTTTCTTATTCACGCTCTATGACAACCCTGAGGCATTGGACTGTGATCTGGACAGCAGAGAACACCTGCAGAGACATCCCGAGCTTCAACTGATTGAAGAAAATATCATTCTCCTGTTACGTAACCACAACCCTGTAGACGCTGTTTCATTTCTCATACTGGCAACAATAGCAATAGAGGCCGCAGAGGAAAGTCAAAGCCTTCCTGATTGTGCTCCCTTAATCATGGAGTTTATGGCTGGTAAAACTCTTGGATTTTCAATAACTATCATAAGCAACAATTCTACAGAAAGCATTCTCAGTTTTATTGAGAAATATCCAAATTGCATTAGTTTGTTGAGCTGCATTACATTTGTTATTGATGCCACAGGCCAAGTTACACCACCAGATTACACAAAGTTAGAAAAATCTCTGGAATTGTTAGGTGTTCCAACTGTAGAAAGTGATTATTCTTCTGCTTATGTGTCAATGAGCAAAATGAAGGAAGATAATGAAAAGTCAAAAAAAGACTGTGATCAATACTATTCTTTGTTCCCAGAGAAAATTGTAATAAGGGACTCCATTGCTCGTCCATTTATGTCAATTAAGGGCCACAAGGTGCCAGTTTTTAAACTGCAACTAATTAACGTCAATGGAAACAATGCTTCTCAGCTAAACTGTGAGAACTTCAAAGTTCTTTTCTCGATCTCTGATCAGATAGAACTCCAGCTGGATGAATGCAGAGATTTTGTGTCACACATCAGACCTGCAATAGAGCAGTTCTCAGATTCTTTCAGGAAGTTAGGTATATGTGACTCCTATTTAACAGCCGATGAACAAGATCTCTTACTCAAGATGTCATCTTTGGAATGCCTTGAGATTGGATGCAACCATGGTGAAAACTACCCAGGTATTAGAATGCTATAGTTATGCTGCCACCATAATTGTTGTAGAAAATGACTGTCAATTTGTGTTCTGCTCTGCCAAATTGTCTGAGTGTGACAATTTCATTATATATGGTAAAACAGAATAGGAAATAAGTCAGTTAAAGTCTATGTAAATGCACTAAAAAGTGTTTTGTCAAATGCCCTTAACCTGCCACATATCCAGAGCTGTCCAGCATTCTATGTGCTCCTTAGTTTTATATCAGACAATATTATCAGCTCTGTCTATCGCCTCTGTGAATAACAGAATGCCTGAAACCTATGTTATTGCTATGAGGAAGGTGACTACTCTATAGTCCTAACACACATTTTTTTAACCTATGATGATAACACTGCTCCTCCATAGATACAGCACAGTGAGTAAGTGTTAACCCTAGAACAGGAAATGTTTTTCGGAGCAGAATCACCAGGTAAAAATAAAGGAAAGAAGCCTGAAAAAAAGAAAACAAATGCAGCAAGTGCATCTAAGAATTGGTAATGCAATATATTACACCTTTTGTTATTTTGTTCTATATAGCAGGAGCCAGGATTTAGAAATTAGAATGTTGTGTGTGCAAAAACAAAGCTTACGTGAGGCTTTCCAGAGCTTGGGTTAAAACTCATGCTTTTTACGATAGATGTGCTCAGTAAAATGGTGAGAAATAAACTACCTAATAATAGGAATACCCTGTCCCTATTACTGTGTGCTTGTGTGACTGCGGTTGGCTACCAACATTTGTAGTCTGTGCAGCTCCTCTTAGTACTATGTTATAAAGTACATTATTATGTGCCAAGAAAATACCTCTTGAAACAGGGTAAATGGAAAATAGCAAATTAGTCAATAGTACAAAACCAGCATTAGATGTGAATATGGGTAAGAGCTAGTGTAAAGTAGAACTATGGGGTAAGTGTTTTTCCCCACAGTTGTCCTAGGGGTAACGGTAGAACACAAACTAGCGTCCTCCCGTCACCCAAAGCTCAGTATACCGCGAGCTGCAGCTCGCGGTATACAGAGATGCCACAGCCGGGACGGATCCCGACACTACTGTCTGGATCCACCCAGCTGCGTGAGTGACAGCTGGCTCTGCCTATCCAGAGGCAGAGCCAGCTGTACCCGCCCCCTCCCCCGTCCGTTCCGCCAGTCATCGCTGGAGGATCGGGGAGGGGAGGAATCCCTGCAGGGAGCCGTGAGCGACAGTCGCTGCTCTCTGCAAGGAAAGGATTGAGAAGTGAGCGAGCGACGGTATGTGTTTGCTCACTTCCCGATCTATTGAGCCGACCTGTGACAGTTTCATTGTCACAGGTCAGCTAGAACTATGAGGCTGAGTGATTTTCACTCGCCTCATAGTTCTCCTTTAAAGATAAACTATAATAGCTTTGTTTCAAATGGATGGGTTTTTTTATATTGTTTTGTAAGTTTCTACAAAAATTTTATTACATAGTTTTATTTTACAGATAAATATAGGGTGCAGATATGAATTATTGCTCTGACTCATTCAGTTGTGCATTAATTGGAGCTTGCGATTTTTGGGCCCTTTAAACAACAGTCTTTTTAGCAAAGAAACTTAGGTCAACCTGGACAGAAATTTTAAAAGCAACTATTTTATTTACTAGAAAAAAACATGGAAAAATATTTTAGTCCTAAGCATAATAAATATGTATAAATAAATAAACATATAATATATATATATAATGATATACATATTAGAGTTTCTGATTCGTAACATACACATGTTTGGAAATCTACATGAAGTGACAGTCTACCTCCTGGAAAACCCTGACGTATTAGACCACTTGCCAGAGGAATTTAACACACTGCACAAAGTGAAAAAACTTGCTTTTGGTTGCACAGGATATAGCACTGGATCAGCTAAATTTGGTAAGTGTGTCAGAAGAAAGCAACCTAAATGGCCATTTAATAAAATTGGGTTGTTATTGGCTTATAACATTGCAAACCCTAAAGAAAAAACAAAAACTTGTTCATCTGTTCCAATTTTTTTTAAATCCATTTTATATAAAATACCTGCACATGTTTTGACATATAAAGATCCCCAGGCGCTCCCTCTAGCTCCTTAATACACAGACCTCTGTCTCTCCCCTCCAGTTTGTCACGCCGTGCTGCCTGCCCACCAACTTGCCATAGACTTTGCTCCTGCACTAGGTTGTTATCGGCCACTAGAGAAGGTAAGTAAACACTTGTTTAAGGAGAGGGGAGAGCCATAACTCTGCGTATTGAGGGGCCATGGAGGGTGGCTGGATGGGGTAATTTTTTGGCAAATGCGTACTTTAAAGCTGTTGTTGCACTTTAATTAAATGGAATATTAATGCATTTAATTTACAAAAACTAGTACAATAGCAAAAAAGCTTACTTATATTATTTAATATTATATATTATTTTACAGCTGGATTCATCCAACGTTTTGCTGATTTGGAGGTTCTGCACTTATCGTTCAAATATTATTCAGATTTTAATGGCATAATGAAGTCACTCTCAACATGTACAAAGCTCAAGGAACTGAGCTTTTTTGGATCGGTTCTCCTGGAACATGACATGGCTTTTCTAGGTAATAGATTTAATAGAATTCACAACAGATAGTTTATCAATTATAACTCTTGTTACTGTAACATGTTGGATAGTGACCTCAAAACACACAAGGCTATGATTTTTTTTTTTTAGCTGGCATACTTTAGAAACAAAGCTTAAATGCACAAAAACGTATACATTAACTAATACGAAGCGGACAAACTCCAGCCCTCGAGCTGCTGTGGAAATACAAATTTCATGAGGCATTGCAAGATTCTCACAGTTACAGGCATAACTCCGGGAGACAGATGCATGATGGGATATGTATTTTTACCACAGTTGGAGGGCCGAAGTTTTCCCACCCCTGGTCTAATACAAACTGAAGTTATTTTCTCACAGCAACAAATCAAATTAAAACATTCAGGGCAGGTCTGTTGCTGATTATTGGACAATGAGAAATAACTCTAACAAAATATATAAGTATTACATGACGGGATTCCTAGAGCACTATGGGTCACCTAAAGAGATGGGACTGCTGTAGTAGGCTGCTTTCATACTTGTCCCGTCTGACTGAAACTTCAGTCTGAGCTATCTGATAAGGGGTGAGTCACTGGACTGATGACTGATTTTTTATTGCTTTTCAATTATTTTGTAATTCTTTGTCCCTACTGCCAGCTACTATAAACTTTTTTAATGATTATTATGCCCTCAGCACCCAAACCTTGATGTTTAAACATTATTGTACCTATTTCCCTAGTAAACCCCATTAATATAGGTTATTAATTAACAGATGTAAAATTCCCTATGTTTCTTTAGTCCTTTGCAAAACTGTTGAAGGATTCACTTTGGTACAAACTAATAAAAACAAACAAGTAAAGAAACACAAGTAAAAAGAAACACAGTTATAATTATGTGAACATTATTGAGCTCTCATGCAAACATGGATTTACAGTTTATCTAAACCCCCAAAAAATTATTTATCATATTAAAGGCCCTTTACACACACTTGCACACTCTCAGGGGAATTCAATATCACCTTTGTGCCAGAATTCTGGAGTTAGGGCTTGGTCACATCATATACAGTCTGTTCCAGCGTGGTTAGCTGCTGGAATGCACCGTATCGCATCCCTATGTTAAGGGGCGGGAGGAGGTGTGGTGGTGCATTGAAGTCAATGGCACCGCAGCCACGCCCCTCCCACCCACAGTGCGATTGCCCACACCAGAACGTGTGGCAAAACAGAACGTGTGTCTGCAATCCGCTCCAGTGTGATCTGAAAAAGTAGTGTTTGCTAGCTTTTTTGTTAGATCGCACTGGACTAGAACACAGGTATTATTTTGCCATTGACTTCAATGCCCCGCCAGGACCCCTCCCACCCCTGAATGCAGGAAACTATCTGGGTAGCGTTACAGTGTACCTCAGCAGCTAACCGCGCTGGAACGCACTGTGAGCAAGCCTTGAATGCTGCCAAAGAAATGTCTGCTCCAAATTGAAAAACATGCTGCGCCATTATCCACACCTCTGCCAACTCCTGTGCCAAATTCAAGCTGTTCTGATTTGCGCCATATTTCATTCTGCCGCTGTGCTTGTGATGTATTCAATAACTAATCTCTGACAGTTCAGTAACAAGAAAAGTGATGTGAAGCAAGACCAAGTACTTTTTATTGTAACTAGTCTATCGCTCGTTCATATTGTATGTGACACATACCTCAGGTGCCACATTCCTTGAGGAGAAATCTGATGACCAATGAAATTTGTCTCAGACACATATGTGACAATTTTGACACAGATGAGACCCATGTATGCATTATAGTCTTCATCCAACTAAAATCTGTCTCAGACACATATGTGACACATTGGATAGAGATGGGACACATCTATGGAATTTATCAGTGTGTATATCTCGTCCCAAAGTTGGTCTCGCACGCAAGCACCAGTTTTATAGGTTTGCGCAAAATTAATGAATTCTTTGTAGCCTTGTACATGAATTTTCCGCAAATAAGGACACCGTTTCTGTAACCCTGAGACACTTTTCTTATGTATGTCACCAACACTCTGAAATAAGGTTGAGAGATGCTGTTCTAAGGGAGCAGCCATGGTTTCCACCCAGCCTGGATTCCAAAAACATAGCTGCCTTTGTTAATCCCCATTACATGCAGAATGGGTAGATTAGTGGAGGATAAGATTTTTTTATGCTTCAAGTTCAACTTACAGCAAGTGATAAGGACACGGAAGTCTGGCAAGATTTACAGGTATTTTCTGTACTTGCTGAAAAGGTTCTTAGCCTGAAAAGGGAAACAATTGCAGCCACCACATCTAGGCACTGGTACTCTGCAATATATTCATTTTTTTGTTCTTGGGTTTAGTTATCCTTTAATTCTCATTTAGGAAACTGTGGGTAGAAATGTTTTAACACTTCCCATAGCAGGACTTTTAAAGAACTTCATGACATTAATACTAAAGCCTGAATTGCCATCTGGTGGCTGAAAAGGAGAATGCAAATTATTAATTCGCATTATGTCATACTAACATTTCTAAAAATATTTTAGATATAAAAATGTCATTTTTTTTAGTCCAGTTTATAATAAATACAGAACATATATGCAGAACCAGGATAAACTGCATCATGTTCCAGTCAAAATACTAGTTTGCTTTTTGTTTACATTTAAAGTATAAGTTAAGGCATGCAAAAAAAAAAACCCGCTGATCGGCAGGCTTTATATGACAGAAGAGACTGTGTAAGTCTCTTTTGTCATAAAGGTTTTTTGCTACCATTTTTTTTTCTGTACACGGTATGTTGAGATTAAGCACGTGCACATGCACAGAAGTTACATCATTGGGGCCCGGCTAATCAAGCGACTGAAGGCTCAAAACCTGGTAGAAGACTGTGAGAGAGATAAAAGCACTGGTGAGCGAGGAGCACATTGGTGGAGCGGGTTGGTTCCTCAGGTAAGTCTGCCATATTATGCTCTGCATACTCGCACATTATGGCTAAAAGTTCCTGAGCCCCTTTTTATTAATTTTTTTAGTTAACACTTTACTTCCATTTTACCAGAAGTTCAATGTATTTGTTTTCCTTCTTCTCTTATCAGCAGAGGGATTAAAGAATTTTACATCTTTAAAAGTGCTGAATCTGGACCGGCACATCATTTTTGGAGCAGATATTTCTGAACACTTTGGTACAGTATATATTATTTCCTTTTTATTTTTTATTGTATGCAGCTGATAATACTCCTGTGTACTGCACATAATGTACTGCACATAAACTTTGGGGTCTATTCACGAAGCTGCCGAGGGCAGCCGAGTGAATGACCGATCTGAAGTGAAGTGAGCCGAACACTGTTTGGCTATTCACTTCAGGCTGGTACGGCTAATTTCAGCCGTATATCGGCTGAAATCAGCCGTACATCGGCTTGCTTCGTGTGGCTTCGGGTCGGCCAAACATGCTCAGCATGTTCGGCCGACCCGAAGTGCAGAAGGAGTTCGACTCAGCCGATCCAACATCTGGATCGGCTGAGCCGAACCTCCGGCAGGCTACTCACTGCTGTTCAGCCTATTCTTAAAGATCCCGAACAGCAGTGAGTGAATAGCCGAATGCCGCCGAGCAGAACAGAAAAACAGTGAAAAAAGTTAAAAAAGTAAATAGCAAACGATTGTGCCGAGCTAGCAGTGACAGCTAGCTCCGCCCAATAGTTTCCTATTGTCTGGCGGCTCTGCTACTGTAAAAAAAAAAAAACAAGAATAAAAAACCTCTCCCGGGCGCTCTGGGAGCCTCCCGCTCCCGGCCGCCAAGGAGAGAAGCACTGATGTGTCTTTTTTTCTTTATTCTGACACGATCGATGTCAGAATAGAAAAAAAAA